ATCCTGAGCTTGGAGGAAGTGGCGCTTGAATATCAGCCAGCTCTCCTGGACCCCCTAAAGACCATGTCTTTATTTTTTAAGATTCGAAAGGTTTTCCTGAATCTCTAACTAACGGCAAGGGGGAAAAGAGATGCTGAGATCTCAGGGATCTGTTGAAAACCCATGCTGCTAGTTTCCTGAAGTTTTTAAAAGGATAACAAATGTGAGCTCATAGCTTTGCCATATCTACAGGAGACTGGTTTGACTTTGTTTTCTTTCTTTTGTGCCTTCAAATTATCAGTAGTAATTGGATAAATGTTGTTTTTCTTCCCAGCTTCCTTCAATAAAATATCAATGAACAAATAGATGGTAAATTGTTAGTCCACGTTACAAATGAAATCTGAGACGCTCATCTATTAAAGCCGATCCCCTTCTTCTGATACTAGTGACTAAAATCTCAAAGAAACCCTATTTATGCATTAAGGACCTCATGTTTGATACCTTCTATCTTATCTAAGGTACAGGTTCATTTGGATAATGTGTACAATGGTAATGCATTGTCCCAAGATGGGACATAATCACATGCATATCACAGAATGGTTGAGGTTCGAAGGTTTAGGTAGAGATCATCTAGTCCGAACCCCTTGCTCAAGCAGGGTCACCTAGACCATGTGGCACAGGATCACATCCAGGCAGGTTTTGCAGATCTCCAAAGAAAGAGACTCCACAACCTCTGTGGGGAGCCTGTTTCAGTGCTCTGTCACCCTAATAGTAAGAAGTTGGGATATCTGGAGATCAAAGCTTGATTTTGTACTTAAATCTAATTCTCACTTCAGTAGGAAGGAAGTCTTACTATTTCCTCGAGTGAGAGTTATACAGGGAGCTGACTTGAACTGTCAGACCTTTAGAACTGCAATCAGGTGATAGATCATGGTGTATATGAGAACATTCAGCTTCTTTGAGACCTTGCTTTCAGTGTGAATGTTTTTCCACTTTTGAGTGATTTTAGAAACTTTAACTCCCAATATGCCATGTAATTCCCCTCACTGTAAGTCATACGAAGAGAAGTATGTTCAGCTGTGTCTCTTTTCCAGAAATAGTAGTAATATTTGCTTTTAATTGGTGACTGTGGTAGTTAGCATTGATGGTAACTCAGCACAGTCACTAGCATGTTAACTTCTAGCTAGCGTACTGATTTAAGCTTTTTTTCTTCTTACTACATTTATACTTATTTTTCATTGACGGCAGATACCTTTTAGCCTGGAACATGTTTCAGTGTTGTTAATGTAACTGCACATTATACAGCTCACCATCTCTTTTAACTTTTGTTGAAGAGAATACTGTTGACTTTTTTGATTACTTGTTTATTCATGTTTCATATGTAAGTGACCTGCATGTGCTTACTGTATAGGCTTACAGCAAAGAGAGAGTCTCAACAATATCCTGATTACAACCCTTGTTTTCTTAGTGAAATCCTCTTTTGCTCCTATACTTGTGGAAGAAAGCAGAGGTAGTTTGATATAAAATAATTCCAAATCCTTTTTGTCTCAGACAAGTCTTTCTTGCTGCATCCTTTGGGCCTTCTTGAAGATCTTCTAAGTGAGAAACAACATAAATGTAATTTTACAAGAGTGCTTCTCTTTGTGGTCACAAAAAAAGAGATGTGAAACTCAGAATTTAATCCTACAGGAAGTGTAGTAATCCATCTCCAAGAGCAGATCCAGCCCTCAGAAGGGAAAAACAGGCAGCTTTGTCACAAGACAAAGCTTGTTCCCTGCTTTGACTGGTGCTCATATAAGAAGGAGAGGGCTTTGGAGGTATAAAAGTTCTGTCCAAAAACACCATCAGTAATGAAGAAGAAACACAGAGAGGTGAGGTGTGCTCAGTGGCCAACTTGTCCCTGGTGCCATACACCTTGGCACTTGGTCCTTGTGAGTATGTTTGCTTAGAGAAAACCAAGAGTGATCCATTTAGTTAACTGAAAAGCCCGATTTGTAGATCTCATTTTGTCTCTACATGATATACTACATTTTATTTTTAGATGCATTTGTCAAGAAGTGAGGCTTAGGTTTCTGCTTGCATGCCTGTCAGCTCATTGGCATGCCTATCTTCTACTTGATGTTGAATCAAAAAGAAATCCTATTAGTGTAACCAGTGAGGGAAAAGCAGTATTTGGCTACAGTCAGTTGTCTCTTTGCACAATCAAGCATTATGAAACCCTGACTGGACAGTCAGCAAATGCATCTTTATGCACCATTTGAGTGCATACTGGTCCCTTGCCCAGAGGACAGACCAAGAAAAGACAGGTAGGGGATGTGGGACATGGAAGGAACTGGGGATATTGCAGAGGAAATAACTGGGTTGAGAGGCTGTATGGTTAGAATGGGTATCATGGTATGTGACCAATAACGGAAGTGGAAGGAAAATAACAATGCTGAGGTGAACAGAAGTTGTAACAGCCAGCACTGATGCAACAGGTTTTAGGATCAGGAAGCAGAACTGTAAGAAATCAAGTAGTGAGAACATTCATTGAATAAATGATTATATTTCTTCTCCCTTTGAAACTTCTGAAAAAAAGTCTGCATGCTCCGAGGTCCATCTGCCTTCCAGGATTTTAATGCATTTTTCAGAAATACACTCTAATGCCCTTCTTAGGAACCTATGTAAGTATCATAGCCATAAGTTAAACCCACAGTCACTGCCAGAGCAGTGAGTAACTCTTGTGCCTTGCTCTTCCACAAGGAAGTGTTCCAATTCAACCTGAAGTTAATTTTTTAATTTGAGGTCAATAAAAAGAATACAAAGATGCAGCTGAATGTGAGGTGTTGCCTGTACATTGGTATCATATAATTCACTATTTTTTAAAAGCCATCCTATGTTGGAATAGATTGATGTGTGCAAGTTTGAGTACATAGTTATCAGTAACTCTTCAATCCCCTAACCAAGAGTGATAGGCACATCAAATACAACTCAAAACCATATGTGACAATGGTGATGTCTGTGCTTGCACCTTGAATGATGTAGCTTAATCGGGAAACAGAGTACTTCCCATTGTATAAAAAACACCACCATAAAAAGCACTTTCCTTTACTTGAGGTTAAAATTCACCCATAGGGTTGCAGTGGTATCCATCCTGATAAACTTAAAAAAAAACTTAAAAAAACTTAAACTTAAGATCCAGCTTGGCTGGATCAAGGTACCCAAAAAACTCTCAGAACAAAGTACAAAGAAAACTAGAGCAGAATTTTTGCAGCTACCCCTCCCTCCTTTCTTTTGCTTTGACTTCACATTGTACAATGTACACATAATATTTTATGAACTTTGTAACATTGGCTGAATAAATAGGGAATCACCTGTCCTGAAGTAATGTTGTTAACTAAGAGTATAAATCAATTGTAATGCTAGCTTTTGCATACCAGGAAGTATGTACATGTGTAGGAGTTTTTGTGCTTTTAGGGCTTAATAAGGTAGAGAGCTTAGCGAAAGTAGATGATATAGTATAGCATAGGGCATAGAGCTTAGGGCATGGTGCTCAGAAGATCTTGCGATGTCACGGGAGTTAGGAGCATAATTAATTTATGCAGTTTACTGATAACCCCATGCCATACAAGGCGAAAAGTAGCCCGATTGGGCAGTAGGTGAGTCTCCACATTCAACTGGAGTATATAGGCAGACTGAACTGCGCAATAAATGCCATTTTGCCGCATCCCCCATACTGGTATCTGTGCTCTAGGGCCCTGGGGTGAGGACAACCCCAGGTCAGTCCAGCTAGCGAACGAGGCTTGCCAACCCCGGTCGGCAACATATATGTATCAAACCTTTATTTCAGATATTTCCTATGTATTTCACAGAATCATAGAATGGTGGTGGTTGGAAGAAAACTCTAGAGATTGTCTAGTTCAGTCCCTCTGCTCAAACAGGAACACCTAATGCACGTTGCATAGGCTTGCATCCAGCTAGGGCTAGAATATCTCCAAAGAAGGAGTCCTTCTGTATATATGCTCAGATATTCCTATATTTCAGAAGAATAGTAAATGTTTGTTGGATTGAATTGATTAAAGTCAGCAGAAAGCAGGATTTTTCAGTCTTCAAAGAGACTTGACAGAAGCTGAGAGGGTGGCCATGTTGCTTGCTTTTTTTTTTTTTAATCAGAAAGGTCACACTGAAGTGATTGCTAAGTCTAGTGGATTTTTGGTACAATAAGACAACCATTTTAAACAGTGAAGTTCAGTTTTGTTCCTATTATATATCAAAACAGAAGTGTCAAAATTATGAGAAAGAGATTCTTTTAGTTGTCCTCACTCATGAACACTGAGAGAAGCTGTTGTTTCTAAAAAGCTGTTCGTTTCCATCATTAATCTCTCGCTTTGAGGAGACATAGATGTGTTGCTGTCACAGAATGATGGTGGCAGGATGAGGGGGTGAGTGACACAATGCACTTCACTCGTGTGAAATAATAATAGGATTTATTAATAGTTTCACGAGTAGTTTCACGAGATTCTATGGCAAGGTTGCTGCATGAAGGCTTAAGATAATACACAATTATCTTGGGATACCCTCCTGTTGGGTCATGAGGTTCAGATTGGACCCCCTTCCTTTCCAGGCTCCTTCTGAGAGGAGTCTGGGTGAGAGAAGAAATCAGGATGGTGGCGCCTACCAGAATTAGATAAATCACTGATGGTTAGCAACTGAACAGGGCTGCATGTAACGTACAGGTCAGGTTGAGCTGGGGGAGCATATCCATCACAGTTGCCCAGGCTGTTTATTGTCACTGCAAGCATGAATCAGTAGCTTAAACATAGACATAAATTTCCACTTTAGATATCCTAGTATGCCGAAGACATCCACATAGGACTAACAGAGGTAAGGCAGTACTTGCAGGATACTCATGCTCTCCCAGATTTTGTGCATGTTAACTTCAAACTAAATCCTACACTAAAAGTCACATTAGTTTTGGGGGTGTCTTTTTACCTGGGAGGAAGGGACAATAAGAACTAAATGAGAATTGTGTCAAAATAGGTGAATAGCTTTACTAAAAGAATGAGAAGAAATTTAATAGACCTAGAAAAGCTACACTTTGGATTTGCTTAAGTAAACAGCAAAGTAGATCTAATCTGTCTAGGCTCCCTCTAGCATTGATTATAAAGGAAATCCAAAGAAAGCCCTTAGACTGGGTTTCCAAATTTCATGGCTAAAGTTGTTCAAGATGAATGTTGACATTTATGCTTTTCCAAAACAAATCTCTGACTTTTTATTGCAAAATGGAGTATTTAATATTAACCTAGAAAACAAGCAAAGGGGTTAAATAACCTCAACACAAAGTCAGATATTGTGAAATGAAAGATTGAGATTGCTTCAGCTTATTATAACAAGAAATCCATGCTTCCTGTTCTGCACTGAAGTAAGTAATTGTTCATCTGGGAAGAGCTGGGGCTTAGCTGGCTATGTTATTCTCCTCTTTCTCTTAACACTTGGCTCCTATGTGAGCATTTACTTTTCTAAAAGAAGGCTTTCTATTTTCTTTCCCTTATCTAGATTCTCTATCATTTTATAACCTCCTTTGGTAGGATAATTGCCAATTTGTGATATCTTCCTGTTCCTGGATATCTCTCTCACACCTCTCAGCCTGATACCTGTGATATCATGCTTGATACCACATCCTGTACCATCAACAAAACCAAACAGTCTAGTCTTTGTTACAGAGCTAAACCATCCCTCCTTGTAATCACAGGGTAGCCACACCTTCCATCAGCATCTTTGCTCCATCTTCTAATCTCACGGTCCCCTCCATCTGAGAACTGGTTTGTTGTTGTTGTTGTTTTTTCCTAGAAAGAATACAAAGCAGGCAACAATAAATATTTCTCACCTCAGGTGTTCTGCAAAGCATCCTAATGCAGTCATGTAGTTTCCATTTACTTTCTCCCTCTTCTCTTATATTTAATTCTATCTTTATGTAACCCTCTAGAAAGTCCAAAACCAAGTTAGTTTTGATAGCTCCATGTTGTTCTAGTCTTGAAATATCAGCTTAAATGATAAAAAACCATAGCCCTCAGTCCTACCTACTACCTTCAGCAGAATGTTTTAAGCCTCTCTTTAAGCAGATAATATTTTAAATGTTGCTGTTGTATTACATAATTCACAAAAGGAACCAAAAATATAATTCCAGTCTACAGCAGGCCTGTCAAGATAGTAACCTGTGATTCAAGAAGTCTGTATGCACTCTCATTCCTTTAAGCTCAGTGCCTGAAAATCAGATTTCCCACCTATATTACTCATGCATCTTGGGAGCGCATAGCTCAGCAGATTAAAACAAAGGATCTGTTCTAAGGTTTCTGACAAGTAAATAGGAGTAAACTACAACCTCCTTCAACATTCACAGACTTAGGCTATGTTATACAGTGGATTATGCAACCAGGCAAATTGAGCGTGAACTGCACAAGCCATTTTCCTGGCAGAACAAGTTAGATACCCGCTAGGGCCCTTTGTTTTGTATATCAGTTCTATGAAAGGTCTTAGCGAGGACAGCAGATAGTGTTCTTTCCTGCTTCCACACATTCTCACCAAGGGTGTAGCGTAGAACAGCCTTAGTGCAGAATTACTCAGGAGGAGCACCTACACACCGCAGCTCCTACAACTGGAGCGCTCTTTATGTGCTCCAGTAGCTTCTTCTTAAAGACACAGCACTGAGACTCAACAATCCATTCCCACAGACTTACTAATAGTCATCACAACAGGCAATGGAGTAGCACACCCAGGGTTCACTGCGGCACTTGAAACACAAGGGCAAGTTAGTCAGACGGCATTTTCTTTTGTGAGCAAGGCTGGTCAGTATTTACCAGCTCACAGTATTACTGGGCAGCAGGTAAAAACTTTGATGATTAGTATTATTATTTGGATATACAGCAGAGAACATCTCATAAAAATCTTGTATAATGAATATAGGAACTGCTTTGTACGTATCTCACTGGGGCAGGCTGCCAGGATGTATTTTATAAAGTGTTGATTTTTCCCACCTGTTAAATTGGATGCAGGAGAGTAGCTATTTTCCACTCCGCCTTTCTGGCAACAGGCCCCATCTTATACACTTCCATATAAACTGGTCCCCTTGTACCAGGACAATTGCCCATGGGATCAGCAAGGGAAAGAAAAATACAATAGTGCTAAGGTTGTTAGCAGATCTATTCACAAGCATCAAGGGTATGCTCCTCTTCTTGTTCCTTCCATGCCTTTGTTCTGGTCAGGCTGTACCTCTGTTGCTGCGTTTCTCCAGCTTCTTGGATCCTTCTAACATGGTTTACCTCCGCTGGGACCACGATGAACAGGAGATGATCACCTTTGAGCTCCGGGTCCGTACACCTGGCTGGGTGGCATTTGGGTTCAGCCCTCATGGAGAATTATCTGGATCTGACATTGTGATCGGAGGTGTCTTTCCTAATGGCAGCATATATTTCTCTGTAAGTCTCCTTCCCCATTTTCTCTAAATATATTGGCTTGGAAACAGTCTCAGCTAGCTGAAGGTATATGTGTAACACATTTAGGATGCTTAGTCTATGTAACCTCTAACTGAGCATGCAGAAGGGTTCACCTCATCATATGTGTCGTGCCTGCTACCGCACTGAAGAATCTTGGGTATCTTAAAGTATCCCAGATGACACTTGATGTTGTTCAGGCAAATATATTGAACCTGTCTCTAGGTCAAGGTCACAGCCAGAATCAATGACATATGAAATAATATGAAGTAATATGAAGTAATATGAAGTAACAGGAGACAAGAGGAGGCTCCTAGGAGTAAAACCTCTGCCTCATCCAAATCGTAGGTCAGTTCATCCAGAAGTTTGATGTGAAATGCCCACATTTTTCCTTATCAAATCTCTTGATAAGCTAGATATAGTTCAGGAAAATGACAGCCAATACAGTTTGCCTCATAGATTTTGGAGAGAAAAAAGATGTGATTTCTTCCTTCCACTTACTCCCTCAGCTGTTGTGATTTTTGAGTAGGAACCCACAGCCCAAGAGTACCAAGTTTGTGGTTTAGATTTGTAAAGCAAAAGAAGACTCATTTTGGGTAGCCTTAACCTCAGTTCAGTGAGTGGGAGTCCTCCTACCTAAATATAAATGTCCAAAAATCAGATATCTGATTTAAGGTGGTTATGCTCAGTAGTCAGTTGAGACATGGATTCACTTCCAAGGGTTGCTTCCTCTGGACTATCTTAAGTGTATCCCTTAGGAATGGGTGGGATATACTCTATCTTTCCACAGACTGAAGGCAACAACTTAGGATAGATGACTAATATTAGCTCAAGTTTAGGAGAAAAGAAAGCTATTGAGGACGCTGAATGAAAAATTATTTTTGGTCTTTCAATGTACAAGATAAAAAGTCAGTTTAATATTATCCTGACACAGGAAAAATGATAAAATGTTCGCAAGTTGTTTTACACTGATTAAAATTTTTGCAGCCTACAAGATTTTATGTTGTTTGATTATATTTAATTCCTTATTTAGCTTAGGAGCAAAATGAGTTCTTGCTTTAAAAAAATCTCCGTTGATGCATTTCTAATGTGAACTAAGTATAGAGGGGATGAGGTAGGTAGTCTAAATTATTTCTTCAGCGGTGATTTAAAAATGTCTGTTGTAATAACTAGAGTTTTGAAATCTTTTCATGATTGTGACAGACAGTTAATTTTGTCGGGGTGAATAAAGCTACAGGAAAAAATATATATGGTCAGCTTGGAAGAAACAGTTACTTGTTTTATATTTTTTGAATAATTAAAAGCAAACCAAAACAAAACCTTTAATTTTCTCCTAAAAGAAGAAACCTAAAATGAAAAAAAAGTTAAGCATTGATTTCAATATTATTAAAATTCTATCATTTTTCAGATGAAGTATTTAACAGATTTAGTATTTTTCTTTATTGATGCTGAAACTCTTTGGTTAGATTGCCCCCTCTTTTTTTTCCCCCCCACAATTTCCAATTTTATTCAACTTAATTGGAAGATATTTGCTGATATATAATAAATTTGGTATGTAGACACTCAAGCAAGCACAGTAATGGCTACACAAATCTACATTTGCTTACGTGATTGTGTATCACTACCACAGAACTCATGGTACAGACAGTTTTTAAGGAAAATACATTAGTCATTGAAGATGGACTTTGTGAATAGTTTTTTGTTTGTGTATACCTTCCTTGTACCACTCTGTTGTCCATCCTTGTTTGCCACTCTCATCTGTACAGCAAACAAACAAACAAAATACAAACAAAATTATCTGAGTAAAGAGCAATGTGATCAGGAAAATCTCATCAAAAAAGTTGTTCCTCTGAGGTTTTTCAGCTTAGCAGTTACTGCTTTCCTCTTTCCTATGGCATATTTAATTTTAAATAATTTTTTTTAGAATAACTAATTGTCAGAACATCTTTGAATTTTGTCCTTTAAATGAAGGAGAGTAGAAGCTAATTCAGAACAGTAGGAAACAAAAGATGTATTCTCTGACCATGATGGCTACCTGTGTAATTGTGGTATTTGGGTTAGAGAAGAATTGAGGGTATTCTGACAGTCCAAGCTGTGGCTGTCTTCAAAGAGAAAAAAGAATGTCCAGGAAGACACTAAGAAGTTCAACAAAAACTGCAAACAAGTTTTGAAATCATCACTCTTAAGGAGCAGAAATGGGAGAAGAAAATGCCAGAAAGAATTTAACATAAAAACATTCATTAGTCAAGATCACTCTTGAAAAACTTTTCTGTTCTTGTTATCTTTCCAAAGTTGAGTTCTGTAACTAAACTTTTCAATGCAACATATTAGGGAAATATTTGCCATATTCTGTACAGTCAATTCTCTCTTAGATTTTTCATTTCACTTGCAATCACTGCCTTCTCATTTTCCTGATCATTTGAACCACTTTGCCACAAAAATGTATGTAAATGTCAGTCAAGCTGGAACTTTACTCATTTTTGCACTTTACATTCTTTCTTGCAGCTAAATCCTGCCTTTTTGTCTTGTATTTTCATTGTAGAAATTATTTCAGTCCATTGTGTTCCAGCTGATATTTCTACAGGAACTCAACCTTTAGATGCTTTTCAAACACTGTCTCATATTTCTGCACCTTTTTACTGAGCAACAGTTGCACCTACTGACCTCAATCATATCTTAATTGACCTATAGAAATGTGTTGTTTATTCAGATGGTATGGAAAATCTAGTCACAAAAAAAATGTACTTTGGGGTCCAGAACATTTTACTTGAGCTAGTTGTTTTTCAAGAGGGCTTAATTTATTTCTCACTCTGTGGAGCTGAGCAAGATGTGTTAAAATGCCTCAGCCTGTCTCAAGTCATGATAACCAGAGGTCATCATCTAGATGTTGGGACTTGATGGATGCTGTTACCTTGAATAGCTCGATATGGTAAGTATTGGATGTGATTTATCTTTGATTGGTTTGTGGAAATTAGCAGTAAAAACAGAGTTGCTATTTCATGAAGGGGACACTTTGTAATATTCAGTTCCCATGAGCAATATTTAGAAATCTGATTTCTCAGATTGAGAAAAAAAAAAATCCTTTTTTCCCTAATGCCTTTACCACTGTTTCATCTCCAGGACTGTCATCTTGTAGATGAAGCAACTCTTGATGAAGATGAGAGCCAGGACTACCAACTGCTGTCACTGACGCAGAATGAGACTTTTACCACTATGATGTTCAAACGCCACCTCTGTACATGTGATCTGAATGACCTAGATATCACAGTAAGAAAGCAAACTGATCAAACTCGATTACCTCCCTGAAATGCACAAAGCATGGGGAATAAGCAGGACAAACTGGAGATTGGTGTGCGGTCCCAGGATCATGATCTCATAGAAATCACAGAAATGTGGTGGGATAGCTCACATGACTGCAGTGCTGTCATGGAAGGCTATGTGCTCTTTAGGAAGAGCTATGTGCTCTTTAGGAAGGACAGGCTGGGAAGGCGAGGTGTGGGAGTTGCTCTGTATGTGAGAGAGCAACTGGAATGAATGGAGCTCATCCTGGGGATGAATGATGAACAGGTGGAGAGCTTGTGGGTAAGGAATAAAGGGCAGGCTAGTGTGGGAGACTCTGTGGTGGGTGTCTGCTGCAGGCCACTTGACCAGGAAGAGGAGGCTGGTGAGGCCTTCTGCAGACAGCTGCAAGTTGCCTCACAGTCACAGGCCTTGGTTCTCATGGGCACTTTAACTACCCTGATATCAACTAGAAAGACAACACAGTGTGGCACAAACGGTCCTGGAGGTTTCTGCAGTGTGTTGATGACAACTTTTTGACGCAGGTATTAGAGGAGCTGACGAGGAGAGTTGGGCTACTTGACCTCCTACTGACAAACAGAGAGGGACTTGTTGGAGATATGGGGGGCAGTCTTGGCTGCGGTGATCACGAGTTGGTAGAGTTCAGGATCCAACAAGGAGGAGGCAGGGCAGCAAGTAGCCTTGCTACCCTGGACTTCAGGAGGGCCAACTTTAGTCTCTTCAGAGACCTGCTTGGAAAAATCCCATGGGCTAGGGCTCTAGAAGGAAGAGGAGCCCAGGAAAGCTGGTTAATTTTCAAGTGGCACTTCCTCCATGCCCAACAACAGTGCATCCCTGTGTGTAAGAAGTCAGGCAGAGGGGACAGGAGCCCTGCATGGATGAGCAGGGAGCTCCTGGCAAAACTCCAACAGAAGCAAGCAGTATACAGAATGTGGACGAAAGGACAGGCCCCTTGGGAGAAATACAGGAATGTTGTCATGGAATGCAGGGATGCTACAAGGAAAGCTAAGACACATTTGGAATTAAATCTGGAAAGGGATATTTAAAATAACAAGAAGAACTTCTTTAAATATATTAACAATAAAAGGAAGGTCAGGAAAAATGTGGGTCCACTGGTGAACGGGATGGGTGCCCTGGTTATGAAAAACACAGAGAAAGCAGAGCTGCTGAATGCCTTCTTTGCTTCGATGTTTGCCAAGGGCAGCTCTCTAGAATCCCAGGCCCTAGGGACAAGAGAAGAGAGCTGGAGAGAGGAAGGCTTGCCCTGGGTAGAGAAAGAGTGGGTCAGAGAACACCTAAGGAAACTCAACACCCACAAATCCATGGGTTGTGATGGGGAGTGTTGTGTGAACTGGTGGATGTCATAGCTAAGCTGCTCACCATCATGTTCGGAAGGTTGTGGAGAATGGAGGAGGTGCCGGAGGACTGGAAGAAAGCCAACGTCACTCTGGTCTTCAAAAAAGGCAAGAAGGAGGACCCGGTCAACTACAGGCCACAGAGCCTCACCTCCATCCCTGGAAAACTGATGGAACAGCTCATCCTGGCTGTTATCTCCAGACACGTGGAGGAGAAGAAGGCGCTCAGGAGTAGCCAGCATGGATTCACCAAAGGGAAATCATGCTTGACTAACCTGATAACCTTCTATGATGGAGTGACTGGCTGGATAGATGAGGGCAGAGCGGTGGACGTCCTCTATCTGGACTTGACCAAGGCTTTTGACACCGTTGCTCACAGCATCCTCCTGGGCAAGCTCCGAAGGTGTGGGATAGATGAGTGGACGGTGGGGTGGATTAGGAATTGTCTTTATGGCAAAGCTCAGAGGGTGGTGATCAGTGACGCTGAATCCAGCTGGAGGTCTGTGGTTAGCGGTGTCCCCCAGGTCTAGTGCTGTTCAACTTGTTCATTAACAACCTGGATGAAGGGATGGAGTGCTCCCTCAGCAAGTTTGCAGATGATATGAAGCTGGGAGGAGTAGCTGATAGCCCTGAGGGCTGTGCTGCCATCCAGAGAGACCTGGACAGACCGGACAACTGGGTGGTGATAAACCTCATGAAGTTCAACAAGGGCAAGTGCAGGGTTCTGCACTTGAGGAGGAATAACCCCAGGCACCAGTAAAGAATAGGTCCTGACCTTCTGGAGAGCACCCCACAAAGAGGGACCTGGTTGTTGTCCTGGACAACAAGTTGACTATGAGGCAGCAGTGTGCCCTTGTGGCCAAAAAGGCCAATGGGATCCTGGAGTGCATTAAGAAGAGGGTCTCCAGCAGGTCAAGGGAGGTGATCGTTTCCCCCTATACAAGTCCTGGTGAGGCCACATTTGGAGAGTGTGTCCAGTTCTGTGCTCCCCAGTACAAGAGGGATGTGGAGCTGCTGGAGAGAGTCCCGCACAGGGCTATGAGGATGATCAGGGGCCTGGAATATCTGCCCTGTGAGGGCAGGCTGAGAGAGCTGGGCCTGTACAACCTGAGGAAGAGAAGGCTGAAGGGGGATCTGATCAGTGTGTAGAAATACCTCAAGGATGGGGCCGGCCTCATTTCAGTGGTGGCCAGCGACAGGGCTAAAGGAAACGGCCACAAGCTGAAGCACCAAAAGTTCCACAGGAACTTAAGAAAAAATTTCTTGACAGTAAGGGTGACAGAGCCCTGGAACAGGCTGCCCAGAGAGGTTGTGGAGTCTCCTTCTCTGGAGATACTTTAAAACCCGCTTGGATGCAGCCCTGTGCCATGTGCTCCAGGTGACCCTGTGTGAGCCAGGGATCGGACTAGATGACCTCTGAGGTCTCTTCCAACCTTAAGCATTCTATGATTCTAAGAAATGCCAAAAAAACCTCTGTTCTTATGTCCCACCATATTCCCGTATTCTCCAAATTAAAGGTGGTAATGACAAGTTTTTCTCATAACTGTACAGTACAAGGAGTTAATAGAAAAATTTAGGGATGTACTGACATATTCATAATCCCACAAGTATTAAATTAATATTTTCTGACAGCGTCTTCCATCAAAGAATTGGTAAGATGCAAATCTCTTTAAGTTTGAATGCAATTCTTCAAAACTGTGCTTTTTCTCTGAGTATCACTTCTTTGCGACATAAAAGGAATCTGATATTGGAGATGAAGCTTTTATTTTGTCTAAAGTCAGTGCTTTGATGAGAATTATGTTTGGGAAATTCAGAATAGGTTGAGAATTTTGGTTCTCTCTTACAAGAGCTTCATGATGATCCCAAATGGCATTAAAATCTTTGCCAATATCAAATGGTTTTTAAGACAGTGACTTTTCAAATGTTAGGGGTAAAAATTTCTTTGTCAAAGTGTTCAAGCACATGGGACACCGATGCAGTTTCAGAGCTCTGCATGCTTAGATACTGTGTACTTTTTACCTTTACTTCAGGGATTTCTGTGTATATTAGCAAAATTCAAGGCTTACTGCTCTCAAATCTTTTCATCATAGAAGGCTATCAGGTTGGTTAAGGATGAGTTCACCTTCATAAATCCAATGCTGATTATGCGTAATCCCCTTAATCTTCACATGTCTGAAAATGGTTCCCTTTATTAGTTGCTCCACCATCTTCCCAGGGACAGAGGTAAGACTGACTTGACTGTAAAGCACAAGAGCCTCCTTCTTGATGATAGGCTTCTACCGGTCATCAGGAACATCTGTTGATCACCACGATCATCTTTAAAAGATCATGGCCTTGCAAAAAAGTTGGAATGTTCCCTCAGAGCTCTTGAGTGCTTGCATCAGGGCCTACGGCTTTGTGTATGTCCAGTTTAAGTGTTCTCTAATCCAGTATTCTTCCACTGAGGGTGTTTTCCTTTCTCCATGCTTTCCATCTGGTCACCAAGGCCTGGAATTTCTGAAGGCCAATTTTAAATTTATCCATAAATTTAAGGCCAAAGTGCTGCAGGTTCTGAAGTCTTTATCAAACCCCCGTCTTTGTTTCCATTTCATATACCATTGTTTAAATATCCTAAATGTGTGATGTGTGCATATGCATTCTATAAATAAGTGTATGAAACAGAAGTGAGTTAAGCTTGGCTAGAGTATTTCCATCAGTAGTCCATGCTTTAAAAAAAAAAAATGTAGTCCAGCTGGCTCTGGACAAGAATCTTGTGTGTTGCAATTTGTGCTTTCTTGTGTATTCTGGTGCAATGTCTGAGTATCTCAGTGTAAGTACCTGTAACGAATATGCACATCTATGATATGTTTAGGCAAGTTTTAACTGCATATGGTTAATATATATTGTGTTTTAATAAGCATGCAGTGATATAAGGCATGTGTTATAAGGCATGAGAATATATGTACATATGGTTGATTGGAAGGAAAGAAAGGGATTTTTCCAATGAAACATTTTTATTACAGATGGATACAGCACGCCTCATTACAGCATTTGGCACTGATGACACAGTTCAATTCTCTAAAGGCCAAAAGTTTTCCAAATCTCTTTTCCTGATGAAGTACAGAGGGTCATCTGACTCGACTGATCCCAAAATATTCTTCACATATGATCTGAGGTTGGACAATGTAAGTATTGGACAAGAGCTTTGTTCTGCCTTCTAAAACATTTCTTCTTTCTCTGCCTGTAATAAAGGTTTGGTTTGCACAGGTTGAAAAAATGGGAAATGACTAGTCTTGGGAATATGCAAATACAGGGGTAATGAAATGGGAAGGTATGTGCTTGTTGTGTAAAGGGTTTCTTTGTTAAGAAAATACTGTAAACTGCAAGTCATTCCTTTGAAAGAATTTAGGGAGCAAAAAACAGATTGTGGTACTGTTGAATTGAGGTACAATTATAGTCAATTCAAGCATGAATGCATGCAGCTCTCATGTCTCATCTATATAGACCCATATAAAATTATCTGTAATATACTGAGAATATTCCCTGGGGGATCTGCAGACAGGCATCTTCAATTTCCCTGTATGTTTCATCCCATGTTAATATCATGCCAACAACATGATATCACAGAACAGAAATCCTGCCCTCAGGACAGGAGACAAAATCCAGAATAAAACTTACTTAACTCCCAGACTATACTGCTGTATGGATGAACTAAAGTCCTGGAGCACAAGAACAGGGTAGGGCTCCATCTATGTAAATTCAATGATCTGGCTTTAAGGCTTTAGTATTTTTTACTATGTGGAAGGCAGAACTTCTCAAGGTTGAAGATGAAAGTATTGATGCTCCCTAGATTCTGAACTGTGCCACATACATGCCAGACAAAGAGAATATTTAGGGTTGGGACATCACTGATGGCACTTGAACACAGCTGGCTGAATGAGTAGTCAGGGCAATTTATGGCATGCTTAACTCTGGAGACTCAGTAACCCTTCCTCAGTCACTACTCTGCCCATGGTAAGCTCTAAGGAACAACCTACCATCTGTGATGGTTCAAGAAAAGACAGTATTTAAAAAAAAAAAAAAAAAAAAAAAAAAAAAAGAGTACACATTTGCACTCTGCTTTTCTCTACAGAGAACTGGCAATCCAAAAGGAGAGAAAAAGAAAAAGAAGATGGAATGTGTTAGAGGTTTCTCACAACCAGCTCATGTTATAATAGCCACATTACTATGCAATTCCCTTTTGGAAAAATGTTTCAAAACTGAAAGAGAATTTAAGATGTGGTGCAGCTGACAAATGTATTTCCCTTTCACCAGAATGCAGCCTCGTCTTTTTGACTCTTTAATCTTTTCTTTCTTAGATACCACAAAAACAATCAGTCCTTGCTAAATGTATCATCTTCACTTTCCCTAATGATAGGAGGACTATAGGAGGACTCGTTCTATGCTCAAGTCTCCTTGGACTTGGCCTTTTTGAGTTCTCCAACAATGCACATTGTTGGGTTGCCAAAGGAATCTTTACATCGTGACTTGTGTATTTTTTTTCCCTCCAGTTTGCTGTTCCAGCTGAAGAAACTAAGTATGCTTGTACCTTTATCCCATTGCCTATGGTCAAGCAGAAACATCATATCTATAAGGTACGCTGAGAGATTTTTCTTACTGGAGAAAAATAGGACTTTAATGCCACTTCAGTCTGCTTGCAAGTCCATCTTTTACAGCATTTTTGAACTGTTTTTCACTGCCCCAGGGATTTGCCCACCTTGTGGGAACGTGCTCTCTATGTTGTTTCTAACTTTGAAAGCATTATTGTCTATATGCCTGAAAGAACCTTGCTACAAGTCTGATAACTCTCAGTGTAGTGAACAGTTTACCAGTATAATCAAAAGCAGCATCCAGATTTTTTTTATTTGAAAAGAATGCAATTGCATTTGTTTTTGAAAATGGCTAACAAAAGTAAAAACACAATTTCAGTGGTACAGTTTTCAATATACAATATGCAGAATCAAGAAACAAAGAAGAGAAATAGATTTTTTCCATGGAAAATTCAGTTTATTTCTTAAGATGAATTTGCTCCAAGGTGAAGCTTCTTAATTTTGCAGACTCTGAAAGTTTAAAAATACATGTTCCACTGAAGTGACATAAGACAGAATTTTAGAAGGAAGAATTTATATGGGAAAGTAAGAATTTGAAAGTCAATCCTACAAAACAAACTAAGGAGCTTTATTCAGTTCTAGTGGTAAACATCAAGATTTGATATATGATCTCATCAATGCTGATGAAAAATTAAGTGACTAATGGACAGATTCAGGTTATTGACAAACTTATTTTTAACTATCTTGGTAATAGTTGTTTTGGCGCAACTGAGAGGCAATGAATTATAGTGTACCTGAGATCAAAGTTCCTAAAGCGGCTTTGCAGACAAAAAAAAGTTGTATCAAATAAATTAATTACATTTCTAGTCTGGAATCACACTGTCTAGCATTAGAGGTCAAATAGACATTCCTGTTATTCCAGCTGATGGACGGTATTTTAGGGAAAGATGCAAATCTATTCTGGGCTAATAGACTCTGCTGGGTACATACTGAAATTAATAAACAATTATCTCCAATGTACCATCCGTCTTGTAAATCAAACTGTCTGTTTGTCCAAAGTTCTGTCCTTGGAAATTGCTAGCAAAAAGAAAAACTAATAATTGCTCTGATCTTCCTGGTTGTCTAGGAGAGAAATATTTTAGGATTTGAAAAATCTTTTTTTATTCTGTTTCTTGGTTACAGTTTGAACCTGTATTAACACCCCACAATACTACTTTGGTTCATCACATCCTGGTTTATGCCTGTGGCAGTGACAGTGTACTACCCAGTGGCATAGATGATTGTTATGGAGCTGATCCAGATTTTGCCCTATGCTCTCAGGTGCTTGTGGGCTGGGCTGTTGGGGGAGAGGTGAGCATGAAAGGTTTGTTGCATCTCCAATTTCTTGTTATGTCACACAGTAAGGCTTTCATTTTGATCTTTTAATGTCATTGCCACTAATTTCATAGAATGCTTCTTGGTGCTAGTATCATACAAGGAGTGTACCTACTTGTACACCTACTGTATTTTTTTCTGGCTCTGTCTTTCAGCATAGTTTAAAAGTTTTGTTAAAGTGGTGCTTCTGATTAAGTTGGCCTACTTGGTAGCTAGGGCTGCACAAATGCTAGCATTGTGTTATGATGCTTATTCTGTCTTTTAAGACAAAATGTTTTTTGTATTTCTGGAGTATGCAGTTACATGGAGACACAAAAAGAGAGACAAAGAGAAATAAAAGAGATTAATTTTAGATGAAACCTTTAGACTCACTTTATTCACATTATGCAGTGACAGTGATGTTGTGTTGGTGTTCTTTGTACATGTCCATTGTCTCTCAATCAATAAGGGAGGAGAGCTAAAGATAATTCTTCTTCTTCCCTTTCCACAAGTCCTATCAATTTCCAGATGAAACTGCCCTCTCCATAGGGACACCTTTGGACCCTCAGTATGTCCGACTGGAAATCCACTACAGCAATTTTGACTTGTTACCAGGTCAGTAATATTGAGCGATTGTTTGACAAACAGCCTGAGGATTGAAATCTTAAACTTCACCTACATTCTAGAAGCCATCTACTGCATAAAATCCTTCCTTAGGATATATTGTTTAGCACAAGGTTCAAAATAGTAAGGCAAACTGGTAGAGAATCCCATTCAGCAAGGAAGTTTTAACTGTGAAAACAAGTTAACTGTGAAAACAAGAAAAGATGGTTCTTTCCATATAGGTTAGATGCATATTGTTGTATAAAAGCCTGAGCACACCTATCTCCTGTGGTACTGGAAGGTATGTGAGACTGGGGGGAAACATGTACCTGATCGAAAAGAGCAGCAGAGTTGGGAGGGACAGTGTGGCTGATGGAGATTTATGAAGGGTCAGGATGGAACCTTGGGACCATAATACATTTTTGTGACCTTCAGCCCTCACTTTCTATGGTGGGTTGTGAAGGCTGCCACTATGGTTTTGTTATCATTTTACAGAAGAGGAAACAAGTGTTGCATAATTTTATGGGAATAGTCTAAGACTATGAGCAGGACTAGATCCAGATAAGTTGTAGGTGAAGATGCATTCCTGTAAGACGTAAAATCTGCACCTTGCATGACTTTGAGATAGCATTAAAGTGCATCATGCCACTGAGGGTATGAGAGCTTAGGCCTCCTTGCAGGTCTATGCTTGATTACAACAGAGTTGGGAAAAGTAACTCTGTGTTGCTAATTCAGGCCCCAGTGGTAATAAATATATAATATCCCCTTCTGAAGAAATACAGGGAAGTATCCAGTGTCAGAGCAACAAGACCTATCTCGAGGTCCAGGGGTAGAAAGAGGGCAGAGATGAAAGGGGTAGAAACAGGGCAGAGATGAAAGGGAGATACAAAACAGGAGGTATAGGTGGCTCATAGTACAAATATGAACAAGACAAACTAATACATATAAAATGTTAACAGTCAAGCAGGAAATAACTAGATGCTGAGAAAGGTGGAGAGGGGAATATGTCTGGGTGTTGAGATAGATGAGGATAGATGCACAGAAGGAACAGAAAGCTGAGAAACATGTAAGCCAGAAATGCTACTGGAGCAGCTATTGAAAGAGTGTTCACATTTGTTTTAAAGGTTTGATCGACAGCTCAGGGGTACGAATCTACTACACATCGGAGCTGCGGAAATATGATGTGGGGGTTCTGCAGACAGGCATCTTCACTTTTCCTGTACATTTCATCCCTCCTGGAGCAGAATCCTATAGATCTTACGGCCTTTGCAATACTAGCCAGTTTGATGAAGTGAGTGTGTGGAAATTCTTGACTTTTCCCACTTTGGACTTGTCTAGACACATACAAAATCCTGCTATAGGGTACCATCTTAGCCGCTACATAGTGCAAAATGAATACCTGCTCTAATAGGACTATATAGAAAAGAGATGGGTTGGCTCTCAGGTAGCAGTTAGGGTCATTATCAGAGGTGGACGGTCATGTCAGAACCACGACAAAAACACCAATTTAGTCTATGTAAGTAGAAGGGAGAGAAAACAAAACAGTAACAAAAAAGGAAGCAGAGACTTTCCAAGAAAAGATAAGAGGTCCTTGTCCAGCCATAGGTGTGTTAGGATGACAGGTGCTAGGCTTCAAGGATATGGTGTCAGCTTTATGACCTCTCTAGAGCAGAAACACAGAATGGTTCTAAAAACTGTCAAGCAGTCGGTAAAGAAATGCTGGTGGCATGCATGACTCAGAGGTTCTTCACCTCCAAGCCTGCTGGATGTGGGGCTGACACATTTCTCCATTCCTAGGCACAGCCCTGGGGAAAATTTCAAAGACACAGCGACCCTCTACCCGACAACACCTGTACAGAGCAGTCTTAGCCAGTCACAACCAGACCAATGCAGACAGGAGAGCAGTGTGATCACCCAACAGTACTTCATAAGTATGGGAAACACAAATAGTCCAATTTTGTTGCTTCTCTCTGTCTGATCAGACTTAAATTTCACTAGTGAAGCAGACACTGAACTTGTTTATTCATAACTGTAAATCTCTCTGACCCCTGGCTCAGACCATAAGTCCTTCCAGCATTATCTGCCTAGACCCTGGGCCTTGAATCTTTTCAGATTTTGGTGTCCTTCTACTTATGAATTAGTCTAGCTTGAAGTTTCCTAGTGGACCACGTATGGGTGGTTCCTCTCATGGCCCTCTGCTGAGTCTTAAGATTTCTACTTTTGCTTTTTCCAGTATTTGTTGTTTTTGTTAGGTTCTGTATATCTGTAAGTTTAATTTATTATGTCTCCTGTATCTTAACTTGAATGGTTTGGTTTGATAGCTGTGCACAATCCAGAATGAGGTATATAAAACTCAGACACAGTAAGATAGGCAAGTTTCAGAAAAGAATGCCAGGGCAAATAACTACAGATAACTAATGGGATACTGGAGGAAATAGGCTAATCTTTCAAAAAAAAAAAAAAAAAAAAAAGTTAAATTGACACTTACAGACATGTCCTTCAGACTTTGGACTCCATAGGTAGAAATGCAGTAATGAGCCCTGACTACTGTTCTCCATTTTGCACTGCAGGTGAATGGGATACCAGTTCCAGAGCTGCACGCGTTTGCCTATCTCCTTCACACCCACCTATCTGGTAGAGGAGTGAGAGTAGCCCAGTACCGGTAAGAGAAGCAAATTCTGGGGATCAGTACCCCCTTCCTGGGCTGGAAGGGGTGAGGCTCATGTTCTTCAGCTGCTCTCCATTTGTCTGTGAGTGTAGGAGACTTTTGTTGAAAATCAACACTGTCTGAAATGCAATACAAGGACTTGTCAGTTCTGTGGAGAGCAAAACTGTGCCCAAGGAGTTAAATAGAGCAGGCCCAGGCAACAAGTTGAAGCACTGGACTGCTGCTTATTGACACTGGTCACTTCTAGAAGGTGCTCTTACATGGACTTAGCCCTGCTAGCTGGACACAGCATGATGGTGGGCAGACACAGTCCGAGGTTTGCATGTGCTGCATGGGCAACTACAGCAGGTTTGACTTCCTGCACAATCTTTCCACAAAATCTCTGCACCTCCTGATCACACCCCAGCCTATTAAACACATATTGTCAGCTTCAAGTTGCAGCATAGCATTTGAACACTACTTCTACCACTTTGAACTGGAAAACAAGTGATTAAAAAAAGATTTCACTTTAGGTTAAAGAGTCTTCAAATGCTCACTAGTATGCATGAGACCTATCTCTTCATTAGATCTCTAGTTTCAGAAAAACTCATCATGAGACGGGAATCATACTGCAGGCGCGCTTAGTGACCTGCCCCTTAGCTCGAAAACAATCCATGGCACTATTTTATTTAGCAATATGAGGGGGTGTGAGTTTGCAGCAACACTCCACTAGACTGCTTATTGTGACATCTTCAAGATATAATCTCCTAATGACCTACACTGAATTGTTGGTGCACTCTTCAGGGTGTCATGTGAATCCCATCTGCGGTGGCAAGGGGAAAACTCTGGAATTGACTGGTCCTTGTAGTGTCCTCTGGGACTCTCCCTTTAGCACTCTGTTCCGCACATAGAACACTTTTGTTTGAACAACTCTGCAACATATTGCACAAGATGCGGCCCCACTTGGCTGTGCTTTCATATCAAATCTAGATTGTTCTAAAGTGGCACCTCTGCCCCTGTGGATGCATTTCAATAAAGATCCTAAAACATCCATGGGCACCCTCTCCTCAAGTATGCTTTACACATGCTAGCCACTGACTGCCATTCCTCACTGTCTGCCAAAGGCCAGCCTGCCAGTTCCCTGGCCTGCTGTGTCTTGCCAAGACCACATCTTAGAAGTGATTGTTAGCAAAGTTCTCATTCTTTTGCTCCTGGATCTGCTTCTTGAGGATGGCTTTTGGCATGTGCAATTGGCTTCTAGGCCACTTACCAATGCAGAGGGCTGCAGCCTTAGTACTGGCCTCACTTTGAAAATGACTCTCTCCCTACTTCAAAGACATGCTAAGAAATGGAGCCAAGAGACTAGAAAGCTTGACTTTGACTCCTCCAAAGTCAATCTCAGAAAAATGTAAATAACAGAATTTTCTGATGAATATTTTCTCATCTCTGGCAAGTGGCATCTTCAAAGTAGCAGGCTCTGCCATCTGTTACATGCCAAAGGGGGAGAAAATATTTCAAGCACCTCAGTAAACATACTTGGCCTGCTATAACTGGACCAAAGACAGGGAGATTTTGTAACTCTAAAGATGCATTGTGAATATGTCCATCTCCCATCTGTGTCCCTCAGGAATAGCATATTATAGTTTACATCTGTGGCTATTTCTTGGAAGAGGGGTAAAGGACACCTCAAAAAAATCCATACGTTTTAAAATAATCTGTCATTTTCAATGCTAGTGATCTCCAAGACAGCTGGGTCTAACTCTTCTATTGTTATGCTAGATAGTAAGAGAAAGGGAATTAGTCTTTCCTCCATCTTGCTAGTTAGCACCTTCCAGGTGTACACATCAAACAGGAGGAGTGTGATACAATCAAAAGATATACTCTTGAACTTCAGGAGAATATGGAAGAATCTGCCATGTTACCACGAATCACTTCAGATCTGTCTACAGAAGACTACAGTGACAATTTATGTAGCATGAGCATATATCTGGGAAAAGCTTTTTAGACTTTATCTTGCATGGACCATTTCCTGAAGGCACCTCAAACAGACTTTAGACCAGAAGGTAAACTGTTTGAAAATACCTTCTGGATAGGTATGATCCAAGCAGAGGTTGGGGTGGCTATTTTGGACTGGGGGGATTTTCCCAGTAGCATATATAATGTCTGTATTGCTATCAGTTAATGGAGCCTCCAGACTTTTTGGAGATTGACCTTAGCAGCATAGAACAGACTGGGGACTTATTTCTAGCAATTTAGGGCCTTTCTGTGGCAGACTCAGGTTGAGAGTTTTTCTCTGGATAGTGTTCTTTCTGGAGCCTTTGATTCTGGGCGTTGGTAATACAGCCCTGCTTCCTTTTTATGGGCTTAGTTTCAGAATAGCACAACGTGGACCACACAGACAGTATGGGTGGGGGACATAAAGCTATTTTGTTCTGCACAGTAGTAATAGCTTTTGGCTCAGGCAAAGTGCATGGTACACATCAAGTATTCATTACATGAATAGCATCTTGTTTCTTGACTTGACGCCCTGCAAAGCTTCACAACTCTCTGTTACCTCTACTGTGGCATTCAGATACTGCTGAAATTTGCCTAATTCATGTTATGCCTGTAGTATTCTTTTTCCAGAAAAGACATTAAATCCTCAGCTATATGGCAGGACAATGCTGGAGGGATCCTTCAGAGATGGAAGATCAATATGTTGTGCAGACCGTGAAGTAAAGATTCAGACGAGGCCTGATAGAGCAGTATGGAAGAATGCTAATGTAGACTTTTGTTAAGGCTGGCCTTCAAGCTTGATTTCTTCCTCTGCAATTTAATTTTGTCAAAAGGCATGGCTGAATAGCAGCATGAACCCATCAGTCCACCTGCTTTACAGCTGCTAAGAGTGACAAAGTTGGCCTAGCACAGGCGAGCAGAGTCTGTGCTACTAGAACGGCTACTACATGGGTTCTACAAGGATTTGTGGGCTAGATGCCATGCTCTGATGATGACTTACGTGCTCTTTGCAGTATGCAGTGTGGATCTACCTAGGTTATCTAAAGACCAATTTGGGAGATTACAGAGGTGGGGCTCAAGCCTGAGACTACTTCAGAAACAGTATCACAAGGAACTCTATAAATATGGGAAAGATGAATTTACATATCATACATATGCACCTGCAAGGGATGGCCTCAGAGGCCTCCGAACTCCCCTGTACTAGAGTTTGAGAGTTTTTTGGGAAGAGAGTAATACAAGTATTAGAGTTATTACTTCTGGAGTCATATACTGTCATCCAAAAGGCCAGAGTTTCAAGGCACAATGACTAGTGTGATATAATAAAATTGAGATTTAGATGCCAAAGCAAAAAGAATTGGGTGTGAATTTTGAAGTGTGTGCTTTGAAACTGACTAGTCACTAGAAATACATTCTGTGTATTATAGCAGCAAGAAATCAGGTATGATTTCTGGAGATTTTTCTGGTTTCTGTTTGACTTCCTGCAGGAACCACCCCTATAACATAAATTTCTCCCCTTTTTTACCAGGAGCGGTGAGCAGCTGGGCATCATCTGTGAGGACAAAAAGTATGATTTCACACTGCAGGAGGTTCGGGATCTGAAGAAAATCCTCACAATCAAACCAGTATGTTCCTCCTCTGGCATATAGCTGTGGGATGGCAGATTGGGAAAACTATGTCACAGATATCAAAACACATTGCCCCATTCTTTCCTTCATTCTGTTTTAGATTTTGATCTGTTTTTTTCACATAGTTTCCTGGTTCCACATGTTAGAAGCAGCTGTTTTGTGTGCTTCTCTGTACAGCTCTGACAGTATAACCTGTGTTCCGTAGGGGGATGAGATCCTGGTGGAATGTAGCTTCCAGACACTGGATCGGTCAGGGATTACTTTTGTAAGTTTGCATTTCTACCTACAAATTATCCATTGCATATGAAATTAGTTTATCCACCATCAAAATCTTTTGGGAAGACAGTTTTATCAGCCAAACAGAGCACTGACAAAAACTTCTTGGCTCAGAAGCTCTCCAACAAGCTTCTCCTTCTACTACAAGCTTGCGAACAGACCAGTCTTAACTTCTAATGCTATATAAGCTAACTCTTGTCTAAAAATTCAAGTGCAAATAGTGAGATTTGGAACTTCTCTAAATGCAAAAATATTCTTTTCAGTTTTTCTTGTTCATATCCCAGACATCTGTTTAACTAGGCCCTTTTGCAGAATGTAATACATAAACAGCTATTTTAAAATTAAGCCTCATACTGACTTCTTTTAAAGAAAATGCCATGCAGAGGAGTTAACAATGCAATTGCAATTAAAAATATGCACAAGGTACTGAGATTCAACTTATGAAGAATTCAGAATTTGTATCAACGGAGAGTACTACTGCTTGATTTGGCTGGTCTCATTCCAAAACTAGGGATCAACTAACAAATGTTTATCTGGATGTAGATTTCAGATAATTCTCTGACTGTTTTAGCTGAATTTTTTTTCAGATTTGGGGATCCTGTAGTTTGAAATAAACGTATGGTAGTCACCCCGAAGGAAAGAATAGGTAGGTTTTGATTATAAAGACCATGCAGCAGCCTTTTTATCAGATCACTAGGAGAATCCTTTGATTTTCTCTAACTGCTAAACAAGGAAATTGATACGGGGTTTCTCATCATGCAGGAGAGGAGGGACACAATAAGAAGAATATTTCTCCTCACTGTGTCTTGGTAGACCTCTGACCATCATTGTGTCTTTGCAGAGTGGGCTAAGTACCATGAATGAGATGTGCCTCGCATTCCTCTTCTACTATCCTCGTAACAACATCTCCAGTTGTACAAGCTACCCTGACATTTTGTATATTGCCCACATGCTCAAGCAGGAGGCCTCAGAGTGAGTCCTGAATCAAAAATATTTCTTAGTGTGGCAGAGTTAAATGTAGAATGATAAATGGAAGAAAAAATAATGAAAATAAGATGTTGCTGATAGGGAAGATATGGTCACATATCTGCGTGTCAAAATAAAATATCTTTTTGAAGGAATGTATCAACTATGATACTTTATTGGCCTCTTTTCCTTTTTTTTTTTTTTTTAATATCTCCTTTCTTTTTTTTTTCTTCTGCTTTCCTCATCTCACTGTTTGTTTTCTTCACTTTCCCATTGTCCCCTCCAGTACTGTAGAAGGAATGATGGCCATGGACTTTATTGACTGGGACAATGAGACCATCAAAAGTGCAGAGAAAGCAGCCAAGGAGGCAAATCAAGTAGTTGTAATTAAAACAATTAATGTAAGTGTCCCCTTCTGAGCATTTGTGATTAGTGAAATAGCGTCAACCCTGAGTTCTGACAATAAAGTACACTTGAGAGATAATACCTCAGATGACACCAACTGCTCAGATCCTACCGACATATATAGGAATTGAAAGAGATTACCTGAATTATGAAGTCTTTTCTCTTGGGCTGCAACTGGAGCCAACTGTCCAATAGAAATTTAGTCAGCAGTTAGTCTTGAAGTAACAGAAGAGAAGCTTTTGCATCTTGGTAATCCAATAATGTTTAATGGATAATACTGTTGGGAGGGCATTTTTGACACAAGGTTATCACAAGGCGAGAAAGTAGTGCTGAAGGCCCCTCTGCTGGTGTGTACAGAAAAGGAGTTAGGATATGCCAGAAAATCAACAAACCTACCTTTATGGCTCTTATCTATCTAACAGCATTTCAGTGCATTAGACTAATAACTATTCACCTTCCAGATAAATTAGGAAGAAAAAAAATCTTAAACTTGAGAAAGGAAAAATTCCATTTTCCATTCCTCTCTCAGAAAACTTCCCCGCTCTCAGATTAGACTTTCTCCAAAATGACATGTTTTGCATCCAGGCAGAAAGAAAAGGGACAAGAAAAGATGTAAAACTTGCACTCTATCCTAGGATCTAGTGGCTCCCACCTTAATTAAAAATAGAATATATAATCTTTTTTTCCCTCTTTTGTTCCCAGGAACTGCAGAAAATTGAGAGCGGCCTAATCAGAGACATGATTAATCCAGAGCAGCCTGCCTGTCTTAATATTTCAGAAAATATCTCACTGTCACTGAAGGCTGCTACAAACCTTCATTTTGCTGCAGAACGCAGGTCTGAGTCATCGACCACCAAAGAGATGGCTTCACTTCCTCTTCTTTCTTTCACACAGCTAGTGTTTGCTTGTGTTGTTTTGTCCTCTGAGCTTAGAATTTAAAGAACAGAATAGGAGCATAGATCACCATATGAAAAAGTCTCTACAGTTACCAAGTGGTAGCAGGGTATTTCAGATCTGATGGCCCTAGGACCCTCAGGCCTTCCAAGATAATTATGTAATATGAAATTCTCTTGGTTTGGCAGAAACAGATTCAAAAAACATTGTCATGTATTTTGATTTCATAAAAAATACTTTCCAGCGTAGTTAATTCTGAAATCAGAAAGGAATGTACTTTAGTGCAGTAAGTATAGGAATACAAGTGCCTCTGGTAACCCTGCATGTACATGGAGGGTTGGACTAGATGATCTCTAAAGGTCCCTTCCAACTTTAAGGATTCTATGATTCTATGATCTAGAGCTTCCATAGATAAGTTAAGGCTCTATATTTACTCACTGGCATTTCAGTTATCTAGTCTCAAGCTATATTCCTGGTAATTAGGTCATTATAGAAAACTAGGTTCCTTACTTACCCAAACATTTTAATTGCTAATCCAAACAATGCATATGATTCTAAAAATAATCCAGTTATATTTAGCTTCAGAAGAGAAGGGTCTTGCAATCATTGACATAGAATTCACCTACTGATTGCCATGTAATAATGAAGCAATGTTGGGTGTTTATTAAATCATAGCTCTGATATGTGGTCAAAATGTAAAACTACAGAACTCTTCAATAATCCTAGACCTTGGTATTAAATATATGGTTATTCTATCACACTATTTTTTTTCCTGCTTTCCTTTCTAATGGGCATGGATTTTTCTTTTCAGTCTAACTTCCAAGGACCTGTAATTCTGAAATTAAATTCCAACTTCAACACTGTCATGATTTTTTACAAAGTACTACCCAAAAAAATTATCAAAATGTTCTTCACAAACCAAGATGCCCTACATTTTATTGTGAAAAGCAAAATTTTCCTTGGTTTTCCTTCCTTTTTTCAATTTTTTTTTTCCTGAAGAAATATTTCATTTAAAAGAAATTTTTATATAAAATATATAAGTGGTAGGGAGGTGAAAAGACTTTGGGACAATGTGTTGTAAAGACTGTTGTGTTGTGTATTGGTTTCTTTTTATAATATGTCCAGGGCAGACTGTCACCCACAATACAGTCTTTTTATTATTGGCTCACAATGTCGCATTATGAAAATCAAAATGTTCATTTAATCTGATGGGAAAGTTACTGCAGAGAGGCATCAACTGAGCAAAAAAAAAAATCTATAAAGATATGGAACAACTGTTGGATATGTCATGAATCACAGGAATAACTTGTGCAAAACCCTTCCAATCTCTCTCATTCTTTTAACAATAATCCTTCTTTTCACATACCATTACACTTCTTCTTGCAAAGCAAGAGTTCAAAACAATCTGTCCGGCAAGGAATTTCCCACTATTTTGAGTTTCAAATAATACTTTTTTAGTAAAAAGAGAAACAAAAGAGAAAACACTATATCCCACTCACTAAATGAGTGATGTACACTGAAATGCTCCACAAAAGAGCTAGACTCATTTTATAGCATGGCAAATCAAACTGCAAATGGCTACATTTTGACTTCCCATTTTGAAAGTTGCCATTGCAACTGTAGTAGGTTCTGAGCTCCTGAGAGCATGGCTGATAGGAGAGGAGAACAAAATTAAGAACGTTAAGAATCAGTTAAAACTATTTTTCCCTTTTCTATTTCACAACAATCCTTCGTGCACCCTGTCACAGAACAAGTGGTGTGTGGGGGGTGTTAATGACACAATGCACTTCACTTGTATGAAAGAAATAATAATAGGGTTTATTGATATGGACAATGATTTCACCATGAGATTCTATGGCAAGGTCGCTAATTATTATTTACTGCATGGAAGTTTATGGTAATACACAATTATCAAGGATGCCCTTGGGTCATGAGGTTCAGATTGGACCCCCTTGCTTTCCAAGCTCCTTCTGAGAGGAGTCTGGGTGCGGCTGGATCCAATCCTAGCCCCAGACCTGCTCAATGGTTTATGACTAAGGCATTTTGTGCACAGTTATAAAGTAAAGTTTACAAGTTCAGAAAGAGAGCACGCTATATTCACTTACCACAAATCTGTTGTGGAAAGGGATCTCTTAACCTAGAGGAGTATCCTTGAGAGGTGTCCCTGCTCAAGGAGACATCCTGATGTGCAGGCCGCTGCCATGCAAGGGGAGCTCAAGGGGCTCTTGGGCTGTCCGCATATTTATGGGATAAGATGACTTATAGTCATTCTTTCATTTTAGAGGAACTTTGTCTGGTGTGTGCACCATTAGTCTTATCTCCCCATCAGATGCTGCCATCAGGACTTATTGCTGGTTAATGTCTAAGTCAGTCAGGGAAGAAATCAGGGAGCCAACTACCAGGATCAGATAATATCAAGGGTGGCTAACACCTGAATAGGGCTACATGTGAAAAGTCAGGATGAGCTGGGAAAGGAGCATATCCGTCACATACCCACATTAACTGAAGCAATTTTTCTAGACTGATAGATCATATTAGCAGACCCTTTACAACCAGTGAAAGCTCTTCAGCTGTAGGGACATGGATCCAAGTAGAACATGGAAATTCCTTAAAATGTAAAAAAGGCAAAGAAGATTATAGTGCAAAAGTAAAATGTACTACACAAGTAGAACATACAGAGAAGAAAAGGCCAAGCTGCAAGAAGTAGAGAGTGTTATTTCTTACTGTTTCCAGTTCAGTAATGTTTCCAAACTTTTGTTGTTCAGTTTTCCCTATCTCACTCTGATTTGAATATTTATGTCATAAGGATCGACCTCTTCCAGTTCTCTAATATGCCAAAAACATCACCAGATCTAATATTCTTATGGCACTGAATTATTGAGTAATTATCAGGGACAGAAGAAAGGTGCAGTGACATAGCAAAATTTTCAGCTACCTTAAATTGAGCAGATAAGGGAGAAATGAAGAGACTTAAGCAAGACATCTGAATTGACCTTGCCATGGCAAGTCACATTTTATGTCAAAAAATGGAAGTTAATACACAATGGATGAAAAAAAAAAAGGAAAATTTTAAAAGGTTTTTAGTAGTAAATGTTTCAAATCAAGCAATCTGGTCTTGCAACCAGATGGACAGCTCAGTACAGATGTACTGCCAATGTAGAACTGCTGTCAAAGCAGCAGATGGTTTTGTAAGATGCATGAAGAACATGATGAAGAATCTTAGGATTCTTTTACGATTATGATTCCTACAATTCGATTATGAAGAATCTTATGATCTTACGACCACATTGCCCATTAAAATAAATGGCATATGACACCCGTGTGAGCACACATTCCTCACACCATGATCAGTTCTGATGTCTCTCTGCAGATCCCATGCAGCCCTCCTACTGCATTTCACATACTTTTCTCTAGATCTGGTTCAGCACTACAACAGGCAATGATGGGAAAGTTGTTAACCTGATACCTATTAGGAAAATAAATCTGGATGAGCTTAAAGAGATTCTAAATTCCACTGAAGGGAGATGCTTAGCTCTGCCAGTTACAGTTATGAGACATATGAACAAGACACCACACAGGAAACTGATTTGAATGGCTCATCAAACCCGTGTCAGAATGACTCACCACGTCAAGTCACAGGTGATCGGTCAGCATGCTTCCGGAGCCTCTTTCTTTGAGGACTGACCTATCAGTAGGAGCAACAGAAGACACCAGCTGATGATGCAGCTGTATGGCCTTGTTTCAGTTGTTCTGGCATCTAAGAATTTCTTGATGCAGATGCAAAACCTGCAAGATATTTTGGGGATGACTGCTATCGATATATGGGGGTCATGATGAAATAAGATACATCTGGCAAAATCTGTAATGCATTGCAGTGGAGCCTTTCTTGGTTTGCAGCTACAAAAGCATCAAATGGTGGGTGACTTTTCACAGTGTTAAGTACAATTTTTGTTTTATCGTGAATCACATGTTGTCTGTAGAGAAAATTCTGCTTTCTCCTGAAAGGTGAAAATTTAGAGGAAGTACAGATTCTAATTCTCATTGGTGGCCAGACAATCACCCACAGATAAAGACAAAGAAGAACTCTGAGCCTTTAGATGATCTAAGCTTTTTTTCAGCTTTCCCTGGCCTGTTTATATTTTTATCTCATTTATTAATCTTGCTATTGTTAAATGTTGCCATGTTATTAGTATAGACAAATAAACAACAATCCTAATGAATACTAGTCTCACCAAAAATACAAACACAGCCTATGATGTAGCTCAGTTCCTTTCTTTTTTGCCTCCTATTCCAAAACTGCAACATAATTGGATTCCAATGCTAAATCTTTGTAAGACTTCTGCTGCTGCATAGCTAACCTTTTTTGATGTAGTTCTATTTGGCGTACACAGCATTGTTAACCCAGCACTTCATAAAATACTTAGTACTCCTCAAATGCTACTCTTACCTTTTTGCAGTAAGTAGCAGTGTTCTAGTAGCTCTGTTAAATACCTTTTAAAGGATAATAATTTTCAAAATGTTCAAAACTACTAATCAAACCTCATGTCGCCCAAGCCACCCAACATTATTTCTGCTACATCTCTTTCTGCCTTATATCTTTTAGCAAAAGCAGTTATATTTCCCAGTTGTTTTTATGCATGTCTGAGTAGTTAACTACTCAGTTGTCATTAGTGGTAACCCCTTCAGATTTATGACAGATGATCTGTATCTGTAGTTTTCAGTTCTGTATCTATAGGAATCCTTACCAATTACATGCAGGTGTAAATTGGAAAAGATAATCAGACATTATGCATTTTCCTCTGCTTCTGTTTATATTTCAAATGTCATGTATGTCTATGTAAGCTGAGGTCCATGTTTCCTCTGTCTGCACTGAACTGAATATAACCCCCTTTTTTTTTACTGTGTACTACGAAATTTAAATGCAATGGACAATAATTATCAT